AAAAGTGAAACTGCAACGATGAGAGAGGGGAACAAACGCCCCCCACACAAGCTGCGGCCAGGCCACCAACCCACGGGGCCAAAAGGCAATTCAACACCACCGCAATTGCGTTGCAGACACATGTTAAATACTAATGCGACCACAGACACACGTAAAAGAGACGCACACGCGGCAAACGGTCCAAACATGTGGACCCACCCAGTCCGCCCCCGCCTTCAGCCGCCCCGCACGCGGATACCCCCCTCCCAACTTGCCCTTCACCCGCCGCTCTCCCACTCGGGGCCATCCAGCAACGTCCCCAACTAACTGTACCGCATGCGAATGCGGTAGGTTAAAAACCTGTGGAGGTCGACGACGCCGCTTCCATTCGCGTCAATGCTTCGGAACAGCCGCCTTCCGGCGTCCACGTCGCCCACGTCCCCCACGCCCAGGGCAAGCCGCGCGAACTCATCCATGCTCAGCAGCCCGTCCTGGTCCTTGTCGTACATGCGAAACTGCATCATGATGGTGTTGTACTCCGACTGCGAGAGCCCGTAAAGGGCGTTGGGATCGGGCCGGTTGTGCGACAGCCACGCGAGGAACTCATTGAGAGAGAGAGTGCCGCTGCGATCCGCGTCCATTTCGCGGAACATGCGGTCAATATCGTATTCGCTGCGGGCAAAGTTGAGCCACCGCGCGAGGCGGCCAACCTCGCTGCGGTCCAGCCCACCGCTGTCGTCGGCGTCGAAGAAGACAAACAACGCCATAATCTGGTCGTACTCCTCACGCGACAGGCCAAACTGGCGCCAGGGGTCCTGGCCCGTCGGCTCCATCACGGCGTACTTCGGGCCTGCCGCAGAGGCAGCGGGTACAGCAGTCACGTCCGTGCCCGCACTGCACGTGTGGGAGCTGCCCCCTTCACGCGTCCCGGTCCAGCCGCACGCGCTACACTTTACAGGCACCGCCAGCGCAAGGTTCACAAGGACGCGGTTCGGCCGTTTACTCCCGGTCACGGGCTCGCGGCAGATGGGGCACGTGTACACGCCCTTGACGCACTTCGTGCAGAAGATGTGCCCGCACGGAACCAGCTCCACCGGGTCCTGCCAAGAGTCCAGGCAAAGGGCGCAGCGCAACTCCTCACTGCACTCCGTGGCCATGATAATAGGAGGCATGGGCAACTATTGGGCGGGGTCAAACGTCTCCTTGGAAAAAGAGAGGGGCGGGCCCCCCAACCTGCCAACTTACGAGGGGAAGAGATGGAGAGGGCGGCGGCAGACACATATTCGGCGTAGTCGAGCAACACGTCAGGCTCCCCCACACTCGCCCCTTCCTCCCAGTTCATTTCTTGGCTTATTTCTCTCTCTCTCTCTCTCTGTGTGCGCATGTAACTTGATCCCTCTCTTCTTCCCTCCAAATCCCCTGAGCAGGGTGCCTCCGTGTGCCGCAGCGCCGCCTCACGCTTCATCGCGTTCCTCACCAGCAGAAATATCAACGGTCTCCCTACACCTCTTAGCCGTCGATTCGGCGACGGCGCGGAGGAAAGACTCTCGCACAAGACGAGCGTACCGCATCTGTGCCTGGAGGCTCTGGCACAGCTTGCGCCACTCCCCCCATGCGCTGTGCAGCGTGAGCGGCCGGTCAACCTCCGGATCCAGGCAGACGTGCATCCTCGGTCGGTGGGGTGCACACTCCCGACGGTACTCTTCGTAGTAGGGGTCGTGGCGGGGGACGTAGCACGGCAGCAGCCGCCCAAGCGCCGTGGCCGTATCAATCGCCCAGCAGCGTGCCGTGTTGAAGACGTGGTACCCGCCGCCCCCGAGCAGCACCGTGGGCAGCCGGAGCCGCAGCACCTCCGCCAGGCACTGGGCGTGGGCGGCGGTTGTGACGTTGAGTCGGCCGATGAGGTCGCCGACGATGGCGTCTGCCCCGCACTGGAGGACGGCCGCCTCAGGGTCAAAGCAGCGCACGACGGCAGTTAAGACGGTGCGGAAGAACAGGCAGTAAGTGGCGTCGCCCGTGCGTGCGGTGAGGGGGACGTTGACCGCAAAGCTCCCCGCCGTCTCGGGGCCGCCGTAGTTGCCGGTGCCGGGGAAGAAGCCGTTGCCAAACTGATGCAGCGAAACCGTCATGACCCGTGCGTTGCCGTAGAAGGCCGCCTCCACGCCGTCCCCGTGGTGGACGTCGAGGTCCAGGTAGAGCACCCGCTGAAAGCGACGAAGCAGCCGGTGGATGCAGAGGACAATGTCGTTCACAAAACAAAACCCACTTGCGCGGGAGGCCGCAGCGTGGTGCATGCCGCCAGCCCAGTTGATGGCCACGTCCGCCTCACCGCGGCAGAGCGCCTCCCCGCACGCAATCGAGGCACCGGCCTGACTTGCCACCATCTTCCACACCTCGGGAAACAGCGGACAGTCCCCGTCACGCGAGTAGACCGGCACCGCAAACGCCTTTTGGTACGACAGCGAGACCGCATCCAGCGGGTTGCCGCAAATAACGGGTGCTTTCTGCAGGCACTCAACATAGGCGGAGCAATGAAACCCTCGCAAATCCTGCGGGGTCGCCGGGTGGGGCTGACATATCGTCATGTGCGCGTCCAGCCCGAGCGACCGAACAAGGGAGTGCAGCACGCGAACGCGAGAGGGACGCATCACATGCCCCTCGGCGTACGCAATGGCCGTCGTGGACTCGTCAACAAAGTATAATACTCGCGGAGACGCAGCTGAAATAGTTGTTGCCGTAGTCAGTGGTGGCGTCGTCTTTCTCGTGGCTGGGCGCTCAGCTCCATCCGTCGCGGCGGCGGCCCCACCATCGTCAGCGGTCGGCATCGGCAGGCGTCACAGGCATGCGCCGCCCGCAGTTTATGTGGCTGTTGCCTGCCGCCCACAACCACCGCAGACACGCAGGCTGCCGCGGGGCCGGCCAGGGACGGCGCAAAAGACAAGGAACCAGAAGAAGAAAGAGGAACTGCGCTGCCAGCGCATCGGCCACAGCACGGGGAAAGCAAGGAAGAAAAAAAGGAGTAGGGGGGGGAGAGAGAGAGAGAGAAAGGAAGGAAACCAAAGCAGTTCACGCAGACCGCCCAGCATCAAAACGGTCGGTGTGGCCCAAAAGCAGGCAAAGCAAACTTGCACGTGAACGAAGCACAGGCCCCCCACCCCGCGTGTCCCGTCGGAAGGGGCGGCCCCCATCCGTCTCCCTACGACGCGGCGGCCCACCAGAAAGCGGCCAGCGCATGCGCGGAGGCGCGGCAGCGCGAAACACACCCACCACTTCATTGCAGCCCGGCGAGCGACCCGTTCCGGAGCCCGCGGGGGGAGGTCAGGGGCGAAGCAGCCGCAAAATATACCACGCAAAGAAATTCACAGGCACGCACGCATCGCACACATTTCATCCAAAATATTTCGCCGCATATGCGTGTACACAAACACAAGGACAAAGCAGGCCCACCGCGATGCAAAGCTTCCCGGGGAAAAGCGGGCATTCAACCCGCGCCACGGAGGATGCCACAAGCCGTGGACGTAACAAGAGCGAGAAAAGCACTTCGACGGGCCACACGAGTCCCCTCCACTCTCGCCAGCCGCGCACAAAAACAAGCAAACCGCACACAGCACGCTGCACCTTTCTGACACCCACACACACACGCAGGAGTATAAAAAAAGGAAAATGACAAAAAGAAAAAAAAGTGAAACTGCAACGATGAGAGAGGGGAACAAACGCCCCCACACAAGCTGCGGCCAGGCCACCAACCCACGGGGCCAAAAGGCAATTCAACACCACCGCAATTGCGTTGCAGACACATGTTAAATACTAATGCGACCACAGACACACGTAAAAGAGACGCACACGCGGCAAACGGTCCAAACATGTGGACCCACCCAGTCCGCCCCCGCCTTCAGCCGCCCCGCACGCGGATACCCCCCTCCCAACTTGCCCTTCACCCGCCGCTCTCCCACTCGGGGCCATCCAGCAACGTCCCCAACTAACTGTACCGCATGCGAATGCGGTAGGTTAAAAACCTGTGGAGGTCGACGACGCCGCTTCCATTCGCGTCAATGCTTCGGAACAGCCGCCTTCCGGCGTCCACGTCGCCCACGTCCCCCACGCCCAGGGCAAGCCGCGCGAACTCATCCATGCTCAGCAGCCCGTCCTGGTCCTTGTCGTACAT